TTATTATGCTGTCGTGTTAGTGTGGGGCTATTTTGAGCCTTTTTAGTGGTAATAACAAGCGATTTTTATTTGTCATTACTCTATGCCCTATATACTAGCATTATAGGCTAAACTGTTTTTAGAGATAAACCTATTTACATTCAGCAATCATGAAAACAAATCTCAGATAACGGTTGACTAGATAACAATGTGTAATTAGACCAAAGGTTCATTTTGCGCCGGAGTTGTCCTTTAAGGACAGCCCCTTGAGATAGGCCATCTTGTTTTCAATGGGGTCCATATGGGACCATATGAAAGTACAAAATATACCAGCTAGGATATTAATATGAGCAAATAAGACACGAATCATTATTTGAACAGGGTGTAATGAGCTTAAGTTTTCACATAGATTCTAACCCCTACAGCTTACTATTCATTTTCCAGATATTTTCTTGAATGTGAAATATTATTTACAAATACAGTCTGCATAAGATTAGAGTGTATAATTATGTTTATTGATTTGAGGGTACAGCCTTTGCTCATTATCACCAAAAGTTCATTTTCATCAAACCTGTAGGATCAACCAATCATGGCTTTTGAAATGATGACTCATACCTAGCAACGGGGTCAACCACACCTCCTCACTAAGATAGGATTTTCCATCCATTCCTTGCTCAGAGTTCACTGAAAATGTTCTGGAATCACTTCTAAGCTAAAACTCCTGGCAAGGAAAAGGTTTTTAGGTTAAGTTAGGAGCTCTCTGAGAGGATTCTCCGAATCTTTAGGGATACGGGCCCTGGATCATTTGTAGAGGTTTAGTAGCACATGATGGAAGTCTAGTCTTTATCATGCTCAGTTAGGAAAGGCCTGATCTTCCTGATGTTGTGCATGATCAAGCTGTCTTAGACTTTACCTATTTTCTTCGGCACACGTCCTTCATAAATGAAACTGAGTGGCTCAGATGCCAGAAGTCTATGGAGACTCTTTTGTTCAATGGTACATCCAATAACAGAAGATTTGTAATGTTAATGTTGCGCAGACATGTTATCAGTGGGTCCTATAGCGAGAATATAAGCACAAGACTCACCCAAAACAGGATCTGGGTCAACAGGGGACATCGTCACCAGTCACGGGACTCTTCATGCTGGAATCACATTTGTCGGGGGAAATCTGGAACAGCATATTTTCAGACACTGCTTCTGATTTATGGGGATTATAAAAAAAGGAGTGGGAGGATTTTTACCAGTATAAGCAGGTTGTTACATCAGTGTTCAAACACCTTATAAAAGTGAATTTTGCATAATAGGTCCCCTGTAAATGATCTCAGTGTGGCAAAGTTTTGAATAGCGCAATGAACACGTGCATATGAAGAGAAACCATACTTTTCAGCATGGTAAGGGTTTTGGTCTGAGGCCTGGCTCATGAGAAATGCTCGAGGACTGTGTGTGTGTGTGTGTGGTTTGGGTGCTGGGTGCACTCACTGCCAAATTATTACCCCCTCCTTAAAGGGATAGTTCACTTTGAAATTAAATTTTGGTATGTTTTATCTTACCTCAAGGGCATCCAAGATGTAGGTGTCTTTGTTTCCGCAGTATTTTCAATTTTGATATTTTTAGGTCAAACCGTTCTTGTCTATCAGTCATAAAATGGAGGTCTATGGTCACCACCTCAAGTCCAAATTAAACATGATTTAATGACTCGTAAATGTAAGTATGAATCATTATTAAAGTTATAAAAGTTATTCAGTCATTAGCAGTGAGTGATTTGTTTCTTTGTTGTTATAGGCTATAGGCAATATTAGGCTGCTGTCACTTTAAGAGCTGCATGGATCCAATATACTGATACACATTTTATTACAGACCCACAACTATTTAGCTTAACTTAAGACGTATTTATTTAACTCAAGACGTATTTATTTATCACCACAATTTGGAATTGTGCTGATTTGAGTTTTCTTTTGCATCTTCTCGCGCTTGATAATTGGCAAGGCTTAAAAATCTGTGCGAACGACAAACTTTCGTGACGATGCAGTGCAAGTGACAGTCCCGTCATCTGTCCCGAGTCGTATTTAACTTAATCCATTTTTAATTACTCAAAATAATTCTATATTATAAAGTAAATAGTAACATTACTTACATTTGGTGTCAATCAAAAACCATCAGACCTAAGAGGATTATATGTTTGTGTATACCTTCAGTATCAAACTGACAGACAAAAACTTGAAAAAATCCATATCCGTCAGTTGGGATCAGTGGACAACAGAAATATTATCACACACAAAAAAAAAAAAAAATCTGAAAGGATCATATATATTTATGAAATCTTATATAAACATAAAAAAACACGAAATCTCAGGATAACAAAATTATGATATGTTTTTACACTACTTAAACTGAACGTACGGTTAACAAGTTTAGACAGGCTTCACGCAGGCACGACCATTTAAATATATCAAATATATCAATCAAACACATTTGTAACCAAATTTTAAATAACAACATTGTTAGTCTGCTAAAGTAAACGTTTCCAACGAGATTCGATTCTGGATTGTGTAACGAAAGTGTTTCCCCATGAAATTGACTTTTTAATGTCACATGTGAACCTAAAAAGATAACTTTTTAGAACGGTGATTTCTAGAAAAAAAAAAGCCTCTTTATTACACACAAGTTCATCCTGGAGAGAAACCACTCACTTGCCTTCAAGAGTGGAAAGAGCGTCTCTAAATAACCAAACCAAACACTGGCACCAAAAGCCACGAGTCCCGGTTTGTCTGGATAGCATGAGCAAAAACCATTTCTCCTGGAGCTTCTCAAACTGAATGACTGAGCAAGCACATGCTAACACATGTTAAATGCTAACGCATGGCCTCTATCTAAATGTGGTAAAGATTTCACTAACCATTAGCATGTAAAAAAGGGCCACGTCTAAACACATTCTGATGTCAGCTCATTTAAATGGTATTAGTGAAGGCAAGAGTTACAGACTTTACTCACCCAGAGTCTAACAACTTCCCAATTTTTTTGTGATAGTTTTGTACATTTTTCTCTACATTGTGACCCTGTGGTGTCCTGAAAAATCAACAGCCTTAAAAAAATTGCATATAAAAACAAAAACAAATTAGCAATAAGATTCTTTTTTTTTTTTGTCAACTTGTTTTCTTTTAATTAGGACTGGATCTTTGAAACTGATTTTAAACTTTTTAACCTTGAAGGGTTAAATAAATCCTGGTTTAGAAAGACAGCATGGTTGCATGTGGTTACATTTCCATCTGCAGTTCCGCTGCGATGAACCATTTACATGTCCAGAGAGCAAAACATTTGCAGATGAAAAGAGTCTGAAAGCTCTTCAGAAACCATTCAAATGAAGGCCTTTAAATGTGAGACGAGTGAAAGAGAAGAGACTTTCCTCTGGGAACAGGGACAAACACACACAGGAAAGGTCCCTTTGTACACAATGGAAAATGACACAAGCTTCAAACTTAGTCAACTCTGTACACACACACACACACACACACACACACACACACAAAAAAAAAACCCAAGAAAATTATCAGTTGATAACCACAGATGCATTATAAAACATACATCAGAGAGATGTTTTGTTTTATACGATCATTCAAATGAAAGCTGATTATTATAAATTATGACTGCCTTTAGTTTACTTTCATTTCATGAATTGCAATATAGTTCAAAAATAGACGTGAATGTGCATTTCACTTACTTTCACACCCTCTCTGCTTTACGAGAATTTATAAATGTGCATTTCCTGGAAAACAGAGAACACATGCAAGTAAACATACACAATCCATTAAAAGGTGAAAGTTTACTATTCAATATTTGACAAAGTAGTCAAACAGATAAATGTATTTGTTCATTCATATTCAAGATGAGAGTCTGAGATGTCCATAATATCCATTCTGTGCTGAGAATTAAAATGAGCTGCTCATCTTTAAAGTAAACGGCACTCAAAGGGAACAGAAACCAGTTAAAAACTTAAAAAATGTTTTTGTGACACACCACACAGCGTTTTCCCTCTTCTGAACCTTTATGCAGTTCTCTCTCATGGTACCGTTTCATGTGTGTGCGTGTGAATCGAGTCAGTGTGTCCTCGGGCAGGAAAGTCTGGCGCGGCTGCTAATGACCTGTGCAACCACAGGAGAAACCATACATGTGTCCCACTGAGTACAACCTCTCGCTGCTGTGAAACTGCATTATTCGTGGATTATGAGAACTTTAAAGATTACAATATGCGCAAAAGTCGCCTTAATGTTACCACTTTCATGTCCATGGAGGTTACAGACCATACAGTTTTGCCCCAAACTTGCACATAGCCTAATAGTAATGTTCATCTACATTTATATTTTATAATATAGGCATGCTGATGATTTTTATATTAATATACTACCAGTTTGTTCACTACAAGTAGGCTAGGCTAATTCATTGCTAAATGGAAGCACACATTTCAAGAGAGGTGTCGCAGCCTCCGTGAAGAGCATTATAAAATCGTTTAATTTGCCAGCACTGACCAGCTGTTATTGATGTTTTGCAGCGCAATATTGGACCGGAAATATAAAATTAACGGTTATTTTCGTCAGGCTTGTTAGAGCTAGCATCCTGGTAAAGTAGTGTGTATATTACATTTATTTTAATGAATGAATTATTGCAGAATAATAGAGAGAGTGAGAGTGAGAGAGAGAGAGAGAGAGAGAGAGAGAGAGAGAGAGAGAGAGAGAGAGAGAGAGAGAGAACACTTCCTCACCAGCTGCCCCAACTATGAGGACATTAGAGGGACTTTTTACACAAAATTTGAAATACTTTACCCTAAATTCATGCAATTAAATAACAAAACACAATTACAACATCTATTAGGTGAAAAAAGAGATTGTATCACACTAGCAGCCAGATACATTGATGCATGTCACAAAAAGAGAGAGTCGACGACCAATCAGTGATGCGCCAACACACACACACACACACACACACACACACACACACCCCTGTACACCACACACTCATACGCATTGTTTTTCTAAATTCTTCACAGAATTTTTTTTTTTTAAATGTTCATAAACTGTTCCATTTTATTTATTTTACACTGTTAATTTGTACAATCAATTTAAAATGCTATATTATTTTACTATGTTGATGTCTTTATAATTATTCTATGTATTCCAAGCTTTGGCAATATTGTATGATGTACAGTCATGCCAATAAAGCAATTTTAAATTGAGAGAGATAGAGAGAGAGAGAGAGAGAGAGAGAGAGAGAGAGAGAGAGAGAGAGAGAGAGAGAGAGAGAGAGAGAGAGAGAGAGAGAGAGAGAGAGAGAGAGAGAGAGATGCGTACCTGATTCTGTCCATCGTCTCTCTCTAATAACGAATTTCAAAATGGCGACGTAACCCTTGGTTAGTGATGAGAGAAATATACGGGCTCTATGCACGGCGGTATTTCCGGTGAAGCATTAGGGATGCTCGATAACTTCCGCCGATCGTAGAGTCCAATGTAAATTTTGAAGACTCTGCCATAATCCCGTTTTTCCTCCGCTTTAGTCTACACAACCGGAAATGGACGAGCATCCTTGCGTCAAATGCGGAATTTATGCGTGCATATAGCCCAATGAGATTCAGCAACGAAGCTATTTTATAGTTAAGTCAATGGGGAGTGATAAGAAGTTTGTGTCCGTGAACGTTTCTGAAAGCGACTGATTTATTCGACTGATTTGCACTAACTAAACGGTTTTGCACACCTACCAGCCAATCAGAATCGAGTACTCCGACAGACCATGGTATAAATAGTTGTAATTATAAAATTTTTCCCTTTCTTTGCCACCACCATCATTATCATCATCACCAAACAAAACTTTTCAAACATGTTTCGGAAACACTCCCCATTTGCATCTAAGCAAAGTCTTTAGTCAAATAGGTTATGTAAAACATTACAAACGCAAATTTAACTTCTCGTGACACCTCATTGAATGAAAGTTGAAGATGATGGATTTCATACTCCCTGACTGGATTACATACGTTTAACTATTAAGATGCAGGTCCGTCATCGCCATACGCCGTCTGAGAAAGCAATGCAGTGCAAACACAGGATCTACACTTCATTTAAAACAATTTAATCTTTACATATTTGTCGTTTAATGTACAATCAAATCATCAATCATACGTAAAATTCTCCATATTGTACAACTCTAGCACTAGTATAAATAAAAAAAATGAGATCAATATATAACAACTTGTTTTCTTCATTGATTAACAGAGGAACATCAAGGGTTAATGAGAACACAGAGGCTCCGCCCACACCTATCACATCAATCAGAGGGGAAGGGTCACCATGGGAACAAAGCAAAAGGACATAACTTCACCAAATCTGTAACAAGACAACACTTTGGCCTTGTTTTGGAAAAATGACATGCTAATATGCAATTTAAAAATTTGATTTCAGGAAAAAAGATGTAGTGCAACTGGTAGGTTAGAATATGCAGTTCGACAGAGATCGGGGCACAGCAATGGCGACCACAAGAGTCAAATCTGCGCAAAACTGCGCCATGTGTTTCCTGAAAAACAAAAACAAACTGGAGGAGCCAACAGCAGTTATCCGAACAGTCACATCTCTTCATCATCGCTTTACCAGTGTCGATAAGAAACCGTGCAGGCTTTGGCATCTCCAAAAACATTCCAGTTGGTTTAGAAACAGCCTGTATTTACATGTTTTATATTCCCAATATTTCATTAATTGTAATGAAAAAAAATGTGTAGCATAATGAAGCCTGCTTTTTGGACCACTTGTGTCATATGCATTTTGACATTGACAATTTGGCGCATTAGAGACACTATTAATTTATTTACACAATTTAAGCATAAATTAAGATGGTTATTTTAATTTCAATAATAAGAACGAGACTTTCTTGCACTACAGTGAGGAGAAAATGCGGGTAAAATATGCTTTACTGTTATGAAAATTGGTCAAAATACAAAATGTTAAAGGTCTCAAAACAGGCTTCATTGTTTTTATGCAAAATGCTTTTTTTTGCATAAAAATGGGAGGGGGGGGGTATATGGAGGCTTGTTTTCATCCAAGAATAAAAAATAATAAAAGGTAATTGCAACTTATCTCTATAAACTCACAATTCTGAGAAAAAAGCGAAAAAACGTTTTTCCCCCCTCGAAAATGGGACTTTATAACACAATTGTAAGAAAAAAAGTCAGAATTACGAGAAAAAAAGGGCGGATTTGCGAGATGTAAATTTGCAATTGCAAGAAAAAAAAGGCAGAATTGTGAGATAAGTCGTCGGAAATACCTTTTTATGTTTTATTCACAACAGAAACAAGCTTTCATAGAAATACGACCTGGGCACTTCTTTCCGAGATTTATAATTTCGCCTTTGCTTGGCCGTCAAATGCGTACATATAAAATGTGTGATTTTATGGTTTCATTTCAACATTTGATTAGTTATGAAAGTATGAACAGCAGTAGAGACCATTATAATCACAATAATGAAATAGGAGCATACAGAGAATAGTGATTTTTTTTAACTGCACTGGAGCCAACATTTACCGATTTGAACATTAATGCTTGTTTGCAAACTTAAAAAACAGTTGGTCGTCACATTTTTTAATTTTCAAACTATTAGAGTTAGTTGCGAAACATTTAAATATAGTAGCCAGGATAGCAGCTGTAAAAGAAAAGTCTTGGTTTTTCATTCCCAGTAGCCCAAATCTTCATGAAGACGTTGGTCGGCTCGCTGACTACAGTCCCATTGCACTTTAGACTGGCCGTCGTAGTGTCGAGGATGAAGACGAGTTTCACCCTGTTCTCCTCCAACGTCCTTTCGCTAGGTAGCGCGTAACCTACGTTTGATCATCTCGCAATATTGAATACTCATAAAAACCACTTGCGTTGGCGACGCATCCACACCTACGGGACGCTGAACCCGTCTGAATCAGATCCTGGCTGGAATGTTGTGGTGCGTTCGAACACGATCTCTTTCCTGGATCTCTCCCACACACACACACACACACACGCACAACAGGTAAACAATGCTATAGAGTCCATTTTGGGGTGTTTGGGTGAAGGTGAAGGTCCCTCCTCGCATTGCAAGCGGTTCATCTTGACCTTTCACCTCATTAGGACACGTTTTCTCAGGCTGGAGGCGAAGAGGTCAAATAAGCAGGATCCGACGGCGGAAGTGACCGCGATGTTTTTTTTTTTTGCATGCGCGCGTGAGAGTTTAAAGAAAGTTCCTCCGAGGCTTGAGCTTTTCCCAAGCAGATTCCTCGAAAGTCTTGTGCAAGTAGCCAGAGGATGTGGCCAGGTTCGGGTCCCATCCGGCCGAGTGTTTAGTGTGTTTAGGGGCGTGTGGTCAGAGGGATGGATTGTCCAGTAAACGGACCTCCTCTTCACTCTCATCTTCCTCGTTTCGGGGAGAGGAGGACGCTAGTTGAACATTATGGACTCGGGATCTTGGTTTGCCATCTGGGCCATGTGACGGAGGATATCTTTTTTTGTAATAACACCAAGGAGGCGCCTACAAAAAGAGAGACAGAGAAATTTACCATGTGCATTCGTGACCAGTGCGGAGAGAGAGCCGACATCTTTTTCTGTTGCCAAGTTTCGCAGGAAGGTCCCGATGAGATTTTTGGTACAATGGCTTGAATTGGCGTTCTGACCCCGAATCAAATCTTTGCTCTAATTTGTGATGACTCCAACCCTCGGTCTTGGCAACAGACGGCTGACAGTCTCTCTCTGTTTGAAGAAGGGCAGAGAGTGTGGAAGACGACGCCGTGTTACTCAGGGCGGGAAACGCTACGTTATTTCTATGAGCCGACAGCACCTACAACAGCGAGAAGCAAGTGAAACCGAGTGAGTGAACGCCTCCATCTCATCCACACACTCTGGCCTTGGTGAACAAGAAAGTTACAAATTCAAGAGCATATTTAAAGGATGCACGGATATCGTGCGCTTTATTAGTTCACAGTGTTGGGGAACGTCACTTGAAGAGTAGCATTGCAATATGACACTTCTAGTTGTGTGTTGCTTAACGTTATGCATAATAATACTCATAATATTAGTAAATAAAATCAGTTTTGTGGTGTTAGATCACTTATTTGCAGCAAAGACAGTGTCGACTCGTGTAACTGTTGTGTATCAATACTTTATTAAAAACCCAATTCATTAGAAGAACACTTTCGGTATTTATATTCAGTAATGATGTATGTAAAAAGTAGTGCTGTCAAACGATTAATCGCGATTAATCGCATCCAAAAAAAAGTTTGTGTTTACATAATATATGTGGGTGCACTGTGTATAGTTATTTTCTATATATATATATATATATATATATATATATAACTTTTTACTAGGTCCGTCAAACGATTAATCGCGATTAATCGCATCCAAAATATAAGTTTTTTTTACATAATATGTGGTTGCACTGTGCATAATTATATATATATATATATATATATATATAAATACACACATGCTTGTATATATTTAAGAATTTTTTTCATGTATATACTGTATATAGATTTATATATAATTTATATTATATATAAATATAAATAATATTTTTTTCTTAAATGTATGCATCTGTGTGTGTGTATTTATATATATATATATATAAAATAATTATGCACAGTGCAACCGCAAATTATGTAAACAAACTTTTAATTTGGATGCAATTAATCGCGATTAATCGTTTAACGGACCAAGTAAAAAGTAGCTTGGACATTATAGTGTAAATTTAAAAAAATAACGCAATATTTTGTGTAATTAACAGCCTGTTACTTCTAAAACAATGTGATTACGTTACATGTTATTTCTAATGTTTTTCTAAATGAATAAGTAAACAAACACGGATTTAACCTTTGAGAAAGGCGCTCGGAAAAAGCGACATTACTGCATTACTGTAGGTGTTACGTCACTCGAAGTATTAAAAACATTACTAAAAAGTATTTAAAAAACAATATTTACATTGTTACTTTTCCACTGCGTTTGTATATTTAGTGGTGTAAATGTAACTTGGACATTGTTAAGTCAATTAAAAAAGTAACAATATTTTGGGTAACTAACTAACAGTGATTATGGAACGTTATTTGTAACACTTTGTTTTTTCTAAATGAATAAGGTAAACAAACACTAATTTCTCTAGGCGCTCACCAGACAAAGTGATATTACTGCATTAGAGTAGGTGTTACGTTACTCGAAGTATTAAAACGAATTACTAAAATGTAAACATTGTTAAAAAAAAACAATTAACTACACCACATTGTTACCTTTCTCCTGCTTTTGTATGTTTATTAGTGTAAAAGTGTATACGAATAACGTGGGAATTTAGTGTCAATTTCAAAAAAGTAACGTAAAACTTTTAGAAGTAACAGGATGCGAGTCATATTGTGATTACGTAATATTATTTGTAACGCTTTACCTCCAACACCGTTTTGTTTTTCCATGCCCAATCATTTCTCTTGATGAACTTTGGAAATGTGGCCGTTCAACAAACATTTTTTACTTTAAATACGCTCTTGATTTTGCTTTCGAAAAAGGGAGTTAAGCTTGATGACAGATTGCATCACAGATGAAAGGTGTGACAATTTTGACGAGAGCCGGAAATGCGAGAATCCATCCAAACTAGAGGCATGAAACGCTCGTGAAACGATTGTCAAACCTTTGTGAAATGCTTGTGAGATGTCTGCGGACAGGAAGAAAGTGGAAACCAGACAACTGAAAGAGGACAGGGTGTGATTGAGATTGAGGTTTAGGGGACAGGTACTGCTGACTACATACTACAGGAACTGCTACCGTTCTGGAGTCACATGGTAATAACACAGCATCCTAGTGACAGCTACTGTGACTACAAAGATGAATAGATAATAAATGATCTGGTGAATGCGAAAATAGTCCGCTGCACACGACAGTTACTCGCCAATCGTGTCGGGGCGGAGCTGCGCGAGGGGTCAGATGTCATCGATCTGTAGCCCGGCGGACGCAGACCAGGCGACCCCCGGGAGGAATTTAGCATTAAGCAAAAAAGGAAAACAAACACAAATCAAATTTAGATGAAGGACATCACGGCATGTGTATTAGATGTGCTCAGTGAGTACACGTGCACAATGCAGAACTGAAAGGGGAGGTGCGTTTCTAAGACACCACGGCTAATGTGACGGACTACTCTTGCCTGCTGGGATGGCCGAGGACAGGAGCAACAATCTGAGTGAAAGCAAGTCTTACAAGAGGCATGATGTCTGACTCTGCAGAGGAGGAACGTCCGGGAAGCGAGGGTCCAAAATGTAATGGATCGCGGGGCGCATTTACACTGCAGGTCTTGATGCCCGTTTCCGATTTGTAGACGAGATCCTTATTTTTTTGTGGAAAAAGCGACCCAAAACAAACATCTAGTTAGCCGTTATGAGTGGACTGTAAAATTTCCGGTTGCTAAATAAACCGTCAGGTGTAACCAGGGAAACCAAGTTATTGTTTGTAAAAACTTAAGATTTCGAAAATAATTAAAATATAAATCAATCAATCAATGAAGCTGAAGCTAGCTAGCTCGACTGAAGCTAGCTAAGTCGACCGAAGCTAGCTAGCTCGACCGAAGCTAGCTAGCTCGACCGAAGCTAGCTAGCTCGACCGAAGCTAGCTAGCTCGACCGAAGCTAGCTAGCTCGACCGAAGCTAGCTAGCTCGACCGAAGCTAGCTAACTCGACCGAAGCTAGCTAACGCTACCGAAGCTAGCAAAGTCTACCGAAGCTAGCTAGCTCGACCGAAGCTAGCTAGCTAGCTCGAACCGAAGCTAGCTAGCTAGCTCGACCGAAGCTAGCTAGCTAGCTCGACCGAAGCCAGCTAGCTAGCTCGACCGAAGCCAGCTAGCTAGCTCGACCGAAGCCAGCTAGCTCGACCGAAGCCAGCTAGCTCGACCGAAGCCAGCTAGCTCGACCGAAGCCAGCTAACACTACCGAAGTTAGCAAAGTCTACCGAAGCTAGCAAAGTCTACCGAAGCTTGCTAGCTCGACTGAAGCTTGCTAGCTCGACTGAAGCTAGCTAGCTCGACTGAAGCTAGCTAGCTCGACTGAAGCTAGCTAGCTCGACTGAAGCTAGCTAGCTCGACCGAAGCCAGCTAGCTCGACCGAAGCCAGCTAGCTCGACCGAAGCTAGCTAACTCGACCGAAGCTAGCTAACGCTACCGAAGCTAGCAAAGTCTACCGAAGCTAGCTAGCTCGACCGAAGCTAGCTAGCTAGCTCGAACCGAAGCTAGCTAGCTAGCTCGACCGAAGCTAGCTAGCTAGCTCGACCGAAGCTAGCTAGCTAGCTCGACCGAAGCCAGCTAGCTAGCTCGACCGAAGCCAGCTAGCTAGCTCGACCGAAGCCAGCTAGCTAGCTCGACCGAAGCCAGCTAGCTCGACCGAAGCCAGCTAGCTCGACCGAAGCCAGCTAGCTCGACCGAAGCCAGCTAGCTCGACCGAAGCCAGCTAGCTCGACCGAAGCCAGCTAACACTACCGAAGTTAGCAAAGTCTACCGAAGCTAGCAAAGTCTACCGAAGCTTGCTAGCTCGACTGAAGCTTGCTAGCTCGACTGAAGCTAGCTAGCTCGACTGAAGCTAGCTAGCTCGACTGAAGCTAGCTAGCTCGACTGAAGCTAGCTAGCTCGACTGAAGCTAGCTAGCTCGACTGAAGCTAGCTAGCTCGACTGAAGCTAGCTAACTCGACTGAAGCTAGCTAGCTCGACTAAAGCTAGCTAGCTCGACTGAAGCTAGCTAAGTCGACTGAAGCTAGCTAGCTCGACTGAAGCTAGCTAGCTCGACTGAAGCTAGCTAACTCGACTGAAGCTAGCTAACTCGACTGAAGCTAGCTAACTCGACTGAAGCTAGCTAACTCGACTGAAGCTAACTCTATAGAAACAATGACAGACATTAGTTTCAGTAGTCTTGCGTTATAATCGTAACGTTACGCCGTCATGCCTGAGTGTTTTGTGCCAGACTGCACACACATGAGCAGCGGAGTTAATGTAGTTCACTGAGCGATTTTCTAATAAAACTAAATGTTACTCTTCTGTTTTATGACAAACTGCGACTTTCTTGACTTTCAGAATTATCTTTTAAATTGACAAACCTCATATGTGTAATTAAGGGCACACTTCAGACGGAATAAAAACATATATTGTCTCTCGCCATTGACTACCATACATATTTTTTCCGAAATAAGGTCCCGTGAGCCGGAAGCGGAGGGGCTTAGGCTCGCTATTGTACCATTGTACCGCTTACATGGCAGGCGCAGACGCACGTATCCGATTCATATATTATATTACATTGCATCAGATATGTGCCAGTATTAATTGGTTCACTTGACTTGATCCAAGCAATGTAAACAAGGCCATATACTAACTTCACTAAGGTCAACGTTGTTTAAAAACATAATGAATGACATTAACATGAAACGAATGGCGACCCTATTTAACTCTGTTACAGAGAAAGTTAATTGGAGCAAAGGCTCTTGGTGATCTTTACCAAAACCTCCGTTCTGTTACGTAACACCAAGTATTTATGGAAAAAATTCAAGTCCCATTGTAAAGGAAAACGGTTGAATATCCTATCCCACATAAACACAGGCTTTACTTTGACTTCGATAAGCTGTTGATTTTTTTTTTAAGTCTAAGTGACATCAGCGAGGAGCTCAATTTAGTTAATTTTGGACCCCGCGTGTAGGACAGTTCGACCACACAGAGAGGATTGCAGTTCAAGTTGTGTCGCACAATACATTTGTGCTTTTAGTTTCAAAATGAGATGGGTGGTGTAAAAACTCCTCTGGCAGACATCAGTGAAAGTGAATAGACATGATAAAACATTTAGCCAAGTAACTTGAATGCAACAACAAATACAATTGTATTAAATCTAGAACTAGCTGGAAATTGCGACTTATTTTAGGGCAGCCACTCAGAACTGTCTTTCTTTTCACTCGAGTGTCATGCGTCCCTCCTAAGAGGCGGGGTCTAACAGGTGAAGTGGGCGGGGCTAATCACCAAGGGCTCCACGCGCTGCTTGAGCTCTTCCAGATGCTCTAAAATATTCTTCTTGGTGATGATGCCCAATACAATCCTGCAACACACACCGTGACGACCATCACTCAGCAACAAAAATCACACCGACAACTCAAGTACAAACAAATAAAAAAACAACAGAAGAGTAACAAGACAACAGAAGCAATATCAACAGAAAATTACTGAGATCATCAAAATAATCTGCAATTAAACAAATGAACTCAATGGAATGGAAATTATAAATATTAGCCGCCACCATGTGTGTGAAATAAAAACATGATTAAGAGAGCAACTTTACTGACTTCACCGTACAGGAGAAAAATGACTCGATCACGTCTGCAGTCGGATTATTAATTTCTCACCGTTATCTGGAACTCAGAATAAGGTCTTAGACTCGGTCAGGGCATCGTTTGGCAGTAGAAAGTTTACTAAACCCGTCGTCTTCATTGTATAATGCATGTTTGAATCATTAATGTTATTATAGCCTGTTTAAATAAAGTATTGGGAGAATTATATGATTAAAAAGCTATAATTCAGTATTTGAGTATTGATCATGACTAAATTCAGATTTTGATGAATCGCTAGTATTCAGTGTGTACAAGAGTTTTAAATGAAACAATGCAGACGTATGGCTAGCTCTTTTGCTTTAAAACAAGTGAAATTATTATGATCAGAGAGGCATTTGAATGGTCTGGTTTTGCATCTTGCTAACAGACCTTTTCCTCTGCGATTTGTTTAGCTTTTCTCTGGTTGTTGTTGTGAAACTGATATCTGTGGAGAAACAGCTTTATCCGAGTCCCTTTCAGATTAACACTCCCTCTAGCTGCAATGAGGAGAAACTCACGCTTTAAACGGACAGAATCATGACACGCAAAATATGATCCTCTTTACACCTTACTGGCTCGTCAGGACCATAACAAAAAAAAAAAAACTTGACAATTTTTTTTAGTATGCAAAGACTAGATATTTATAGCTATTTTTTAACCTGTGTGACACAATATTCAATAGATATCTAAATATATATCTTATTATCTGCTAAGTATATATACATATATACACATTTATAGCAATATATAGTGTCAAATCGATTAACTGCATCTCACATAAAAGTTTGTAAATATATAATATAAACACACACACACACACACACACACACACACACACACATATATATTCACATATATTTACAAACTTTTATGCTAGATGCGATTAATTGATTTGGCAGCACTTATATATATATATATATATATATATACACTATTTACAACACGCATATATTAGTGCTGTCAAATCGATTTGTCATAGTAAAGTCATAGTAGCCATTTTGGATAATATCTGAATATATATCTTATTATTTGCCAAGTATATATATATATATATATATATATATATATATATATACATACACATATATATATATACACATACACACACACACACACACACAAACACACATTTATAAGAATATATAAAAGTAGTGTCAAATCGATTAACTGCATCTCACATAAAAGTTTGTAAATTTATAATATAAACACACACATATACATATATATATACACACACACAAACAAACACACACACATATACACACCCACAAACACATATATACACACACACACATTTACAAACTTTTATGCTAGATGAGATTGATCAAGATATATATATATATTACACATACAAACATATAAAAGAAAAAAGTCACAGTAGCCATTTTGGATAATAAATAAATCGCTAAATCAGATTTAAAACTGATTCATCGAAAATACATTTTTATTCAAAAGTGTTTAATATTTTTTAGATGTTTTTGGAAGGAGACTTATGCTCACCAAGGCTGCATTCATTTGATAAAAAAAAATAAATAAATCCATAAACAATTGTCAAATATTAGTAAAAGTCATAATATCTGTTTGGTATTTGAATATATTTTACAATGTAATTTATTCCCGTGATGCAAATCTGAATTTGCAACAGTCTAGTCTTGAGGTGAGCATAAATCAATTATTAATTGCATTTATATTTGTTTATAGTTATAAATTGTCAATCTAATCTAAATGACACACTTGTTAATAGACTTAAACGAAAAAAAAAAATAAACCTCCTTAAAAATGATTCGTGCATCACAAGTAAAATCCCTGTGAATATAGAACATCGTCCAGCTCGTTAAAGATACCGTCAGGCCCGCGAGTGTAAAAGTGTGTGAGTTCCTAGATGAATGACACCATGAATCCCATCAGCAGAAGATGTGTGTGTGTGTGTGTGTGTGTGTGTCTGCTGATGGGACATATGTTAGTTGAAATCCATTCGCAACACAACACAGGAGGAGAGAGAGACTCAGGGTCGCGGAGGTCACTCACCCGTTGTGCGTCACAAGGCACTGGCGCAGGCCGAGCTTGCGGAAGATGTCCACCACGATCTCCATCGGCGTGTGGTCGGTGACGGTGAAGGGGCTCATGTCTAAAATACTGCGCAGCTTCAGCGGCCGCGGGCTGTCTGCGGGAAGGGTCGGGGCATGCTGGGTAAAATAGATCCGCGAGTTCAGCATTATTCCCTCCTGCTTACGGCGGGTGTTTTCTGAAAAGAGAAGAAACATATCTTACAGTCATATCTTATCTCACAGTCCTGTTTCGCATGAACACACAACTTACTAGATACTAACCCTGAACTTAACCCATGTAGATACCTTATATTACACAGTACTTTGGTCGGCGTAATGGTATGACGCCATATCAGCCTAGAAAATCACAACTTTACATTTTCCGTCGGTCTCAGTGCACGATGTAACTACAGAAGAGTTTTAAATAGGAAAAATATCAAAACTCTTTGGTCATTTTTTTTTGTTAAGAAATGCTAATGGTCTTGTCCACTTCAATGATGTATGCTAAGCTATGCTAAAAGTGGTGCCGCCAGAACCGGAGATCGGCTGAATGGATTCAAAAACGGTAAAACGGAGTTGTAAAATGAGCCTATTTCCAAAAAAAGTGGAATATCCCTTTAAGATTGATCCTGCAAATCAAGATCATGAACATTTCAAATGGCCCCTTTATATTTAGAGCACCATTCAAAAGTTTGGGTCAGTAAATAAAAGTAAAAAAAAAAAAGCAGCAAATGATTTCTGAAGGATCATGTGTAATGATTCTGAAAATTTAACAACAATTTATTTAATGTTTAACATAAAGCCTAAGGAAAATGTTTTTCCCCATCAAAATCTGTTTTTTTAAGCAAATTATTTGTTTTCTTGAAATTAATTCATGAAATTAAATCATGAAATTAAAAAAAACTTGTCAAACAAACTTTTAAAAAATAAAATATGGAAGAGAAATTGTGATGATTTTTAAATTAATTTAAATTTTTTTTTTACTTTTATTAGTTTTAGTATTATTATAACATTGAGATGTAGCTAAATCTACTGTAAAACATTATTATATTTCTGTCAAGTTAAATGAACTTTTATTTTAATGGGTTGCCGTGAAGACCTTTGAGTTTCTGTGTTTTTATGATAATAGTTTTCCTCTTATTAAACAGTAAGATGCGAAAAGTGACTTTCAGAGTGGCTCTGGAGCTGAAGTTCATGCATTCATGTCCTCATATGTAATGATTTTATGTCATGTACACGTATTTTATTGTTATATTTAGAAGACATGATCTATGCTCCTTTTAGTCATCATAACGCTCCTCCCATCCGCACAGTGCTATTTACCTTCAGCGCGAGACTACAGCTAGCCGTCTAAAATAATATTTAGGTGAATTTAAACAATGGCTAAGTTGCTAAACGCATCTTGCTGTCATGTAGTGTTGTCACGGTACCAAAATTTCAGTATTCGGTACCAATACCAGTTAAAATTCACGGTTCTCGGTACCAATTTCGGTACCAAAGCTTAGTTTAAATTTACATATATTTAAGTGTTTATCACGGTTACAAGTATGGAAACTGTACATTTGTATTATAAACACTTTAGAAAAAGATTAGATAAAATGACCTAAAATAAACAATAGTATACACTAACACATTTTTAAAGTTGTTTGTGAAGTTTTAATCCATTATTTATTTAATGCACAATGAATTAAGTGAACAAACATGAACAATCAGGTGTTTGTAATAAATAACATTTTCAAACATTAATTAATGTTGTAAAAATATATTGTTCACTCAATGTGTTGATAACTAAGTAATGTTGATGAATGGTATCTTTGTAGCATTACCATAAAACATGTTTTATTTGACTTGACTGTCCTTTTATTTAATCTAAAACTGCATTCATATTTAATTTTAAAAAGGCTTTTTAAACCTGCTGAGTTATAAAGGCAAGAATACGCCTAGAACTGGCACTGACATTAAATGACAATACTAATACCAGTAGTACTCTGGTGTCGGGTGGATACTACTGTGCTCATGTACTCGTAAAACTACCCCGAAAGCACTTTAGAGGCCGTTCACATGTCGCGCGTGTTTTTTAATTATATTTTTGCGCGTGCTTATTCTTTCCAAAGCGCTTGCTCTCACGCGGCGTCTGTCGTTGCTATGCAACGCCAACGAGTTTTTATTATGAGCGCGCTTGAATCGCGCCTATATTTGAAATTGCTTATTTGCGAATGTAATCGGCCTCTTATGGCAACGTGACATTAGCCTAATCCAAAATATTTCCATATGTGGCTCTTTCCTCCTTTCGTTTCAACAAGTGGATTCAGAGAGAGAGAGCCATATCAGCGTTATGAAGAGGACGCAACTGTGCACGTTTCAGACATCGCGTCTAGAACAGAACTGGATTAACCTGGTACTCGGTACCTAGAAAAGCTGGTACCGTAACATTTTTTTTTTTTAGTACCGACTTGGTACCGAAGTACCGAGTTTTTTGACAACACTACTGTCATGTAAGAGCCTTGTTCACATTGGACAGACATTTTAATTGCATTTTATGTCTGTTAAGAGGCACCAAAGACACTCTTTATGAATATGCCCCCATAACTGCCATTTTAGCGTGTAGTGGGAGCTCTGGGCATTAGCTTTAGCAGCTCCGGCTCGGTTTTTTTTCTGTAGACAGTACTCACAAAAGGTATAACCATCAAGATTAACTTAAAAATTGGCCACATGTCATGCAAACTAGAAACCATGCTTCTAACCACAGCTCGAGATCTGTCGTTTCAACCACACGACTCATCGGAAACATCGTCACGTTGAACTGCTGATAACTTGTGATCATAGTTGGCTAACAATGCTGTCGGAAAACACACCCCAGACTGGTATTTCAGACTTGAAAGTGTTGATGATCGCGCACGTGTTCCCGTTACCTATGGCGATGGTTATATCCCTGCGCAGAGCGAAGCCCACAAGCCTCTGCGACTCTTTGGAGACGATGACGGGGAAGCCGTTGTAATTGGTTTCGGAGATGATGGCCTGCAGCTCAGCGAGAGTCATGTCGTCCTGCGTCAGCACTGCCAGCGGCGGGTCGCTACGCCGCGGACGCATCACTTCCCGCGCCAGCGTGGTGTGTGTGAACTCTTCCTTAGCGTCCAGGAAGGGGTATCCGTTCAGACGGATGTGGGCTTCGTAAATCCCCTCTCTGCCGAACGCATCGCCCACCCACTTGCTGGTCATCACCGCCGCCATGAGAGGAACGATGTATTCCAGGCCGCCGGTCAGTTCGAACACGATGACCACCAGAGACACCGTCATGCGGGTCACGCCACCTAAAGCACACACAGGTTAGACACACACTGCACAACACCAGGGTTGGGAATCCACTGAATTTTAACGATTCCTGTTTCGATTCCAATAAGGCAAAAAAAAAACTTAGACATCATTCACATTTAGCTCTGTTGCCAAACATTTAATTAAACAAATATTTAAAAAAAAATTATACAGTTGTCATTGATGTGTTTTTGCATGTTCGTCGGCTCTGAATTGTCAAAACACCTCTCGAAACGCCAGCTTAGGATGTGAAAAACGCAAAAAATTGAATCCGATCTGATTTTTCTATAGCGGACGAAAGTTTCGGAGGCAGCGTGTAAACGTAATTGACAATGTGAGGTCGTATTTATTTTTTAATGTGTGGAAATTTTGTACAAGGACCTTTACACATCAGCCTGTGGTTGAAAAATACCACAGAAAAACAACTAGCCTTACTAATATAAAATGTAAAGCATTATTAAAGACAATAAACACTCAGTAATTAAAAAAGAACAAACAACAATTTTAGGCAAATCGCAACAAATAGATACAACTGAACACAGATACGATTGAAATAAACAGTGTTTTAGATTTTCAGGAACAGAAACTGTAAATGTAAAATAACACCCACTTTATAAATAAAAACATAAATTATATGTAGTTACAAAAGTTATTCGGTCAAGAAGGAGTGAATTTTCTCTGTCTTTTGTTGTTTGATTAGTGTTATTCTAGAAACGGCAGCAAAAATATTAGTGCCATCATTTTAAGAGTTGCCCAATATGAAAATAAAACGTGAAAAAAAAAAACTCATTACATTTCCAGTTTAAGCTTGTTAAACTTCGAGAAAAAAAAAAAAAACGAAATACAATCTTGGTAGTAAACTCATTAAATTTCGAGAATAAAGTTGTGTTCATTCTCACGATATTTCGACTTTTTTCTCAAAATTTAATTGGAAACACGACGACTTTATTCTCAAGATTCTATTTCAAGTTTTTTTCTCGAAACACGACTTTATTCTCAAAATGTAACGAGTTTCTCACGATTATTTTGACTTTTTCTTGAAATTTAACGTTTATTCTCGAAACAACGACTTTATTCTCGAAATGTAATGAGTTTACTCTCAAGATTGTATTATTAAGATTGTATTGTATTATTAAGATTGTATGATTTTTTTCTCTCTAAATTTAATGAGTTTATTCTCGAAACAACGAATTTAATCTCGAAATTTAATGGAAATTTAATGAGTTTATTCTCACGATTATTTCGACTTTTTTTTTCTAAGTTTAACTAGTTTTTTTCTCTAAACACGACTTTATTCTCGAAATTTAACAAGTTTAGTCTCGAAACAACGACTTTATTCTTGGAATTTAATGAGTTTATTCTCAAGATTGTATTTCGAGTTTTTTTTCTCAATTTAACGAGTTTTTTTCTCGCAATACAACGACTTTATTCTTGAAATTTAATGAGTTTATTCTTACGATTATTTCAACTTTTCAAAGTTTTTTTCACAAAACACAATGACTTTATTCTCAAAATTGTATTTCGACTTTTATTCTTGAAATTTATCGAGTTTAATTTCGCATTATAATGACTATAATCTCGAGATGGTTTTATTTTTTTTATTATTGCTAGGCCCTAATCCTCTTCCGTACAAAGGATTCGATAAGATGAATCGAAATTAAAATTTTTACAACAAGTATCCGATTCCTGACCTCAAGTACGGAATCGAATCATTTCGTAACCCTACAGAAACACACAGAGAGGTCAGACGCTGCATACACACGCACCGAGACAGGCCGCAGCGCCCACCATGGCGTAGAGCCCCGGCGTGATGCAGTCGGCGCCCACCTCACACCACTCTCGAAACAGGAACCAGTCGTGGTGATAGTACGCCAGCTGCTCCACAGCGATGCCCACGATCCTGCCAGCGATCGCACCGATGGCCATGCTGGGGATGAACAGACCCGACGGCACCTGGACACACACACACACACACACAGCGGGGAACACAATATAAGGTGTCAGGCAGCTTGACTGCAATGTCTGTCATTTCTTTTATTGTTATGTTAAAAATTATATTACGAGTTTGTAGCTGTGTGTAAATAAAGGACAATACGAGATTTTATCCACTTGTAGCTTTTTTGTATATAAGTTTATCTTTTCCCCTTTTATTCCCTTTTAATGATAAATACATTTATTTACATGTTTGTGTAACCTGGGTAAAACATTTTTTTTTTAATGTAAAGTCTTTATTAAGCAATATCATATATTTTTTAGTGGATACACAATGTTCAACTACAGATGGTGTGACTTTAACGATAACATCTGTTAAAAACATATAAACACTTATTTCCTAAATAATATGGCTATAAAATTAAATATATATAAATCTGTGATGTTAAAACACAAATAAAATACACATTTATACGTTGTACGACCATAAAATGTAAAAAAAAAAAGAAAGAAATTTAAATAAATCTTAGCACAAATAAAAAAATATTTGTGTGTGTGTGTGTGTGTGTGTGTTATGGCCATGAAATAAAAAAAAATAAACAAAATATCAAGATGACAGATTTTATTAAAATTGTATAGCCATAAAATTTAATAACGTACCAATTTTATTTTATTAGTGTGTGTTTTCTTAACCAAAATGTAAATAAAAAGGTTACTGCATAAAAAATACATTTACAAAAACTAATGAATATGTAATTTCTAAGTTACTTTCAGAATAACGGTTCATTTTGAAACAAAGCAAAACAATGAAAAATGGCCTAAAATGTACATTAGTTTAGCAAATACTTCAAATTAGCGTGTCGTTTGATTCGTTTCCGCTTGAACTGCTGTGGTATTGAAGCACACTACTACCGAACGCTGATCTCACCTTCAGGCCGAAGGTGAAGATGGTCATGATGATCTTGAAGACGAGCGCCAGGCTGAGCTGCCACATGGCGGAGTAAACGCCCGGCGTGGAGGTGGCGTCCGATCCCTGCGGATACGCCTGACTGCCGTTCATCTGACTGCGGTACTGGCAGAGCTGCGACGACTCCAGCGGCCCGCAGTCCGTGAACAGCTCCTTGATCAGCTCGCTGGTGTTCTGCCGCGTGTACGGGTTCGGGAACGCCACGATAGCCGTGATGGCCGCCACTGTGATCACCTCCAACACCGGGTACTTGCCTAAAAAAACAAGTCCAGCTATTTTAGAGCGGTCTATAGTGTTAGACGAGTCTAAAATTTGCTCATAATCTAGTCTAATGCAAGTTAGACTGTTTCACAAAAATAAAGACTGACTTAAGCCCAAAAAAATTAGACTAATGCTGCGTTCACGTGCTATGGAAAGTAGGATATTTTCCACTTGTGAACTGGTATCGTAATGTGCTAAAAACATGGAGATCCAGACCTGTTATTTAGCTAAAACTATTTTAGATTGCTTAAGTCATCTGCAACAGCAAGAAAATGATTTATCAAAACTCAAAAGGTAAATAATATGCTATATATTTCTTTCTAGATCATGAATAATATATATTTTTACCATTCACGACTCTTGCGGCGCTCTCCGCCATTTTGAAAAGTTCAAAGGTTATCTCATCTCGGCAACTCGTCCATCAAAATATTCCATGAGTTGCCCAGTGGAAAATACCACATGAGGGGGTGTTCATGTGCATTTTCCACGTCGGCTTTTGGTATTTACCATAGCACATGAACGTAGCATAACTCAGGTCTAAGACTCTGTTACCTTGGCAACCAGCAATAACAATCAGTTGCATTAAAAACAGCCGAAAGCAAAGGGAAGATGTCACAAAATTTGTGGTTTGCTAATGACGTTATGGAGATTTCCATACATGGATTTCTTTTTTGGCATCTTGTACCATGTTTTTGTATCTTTTCTGTACGCCTATAACGCTCCGCTCAGATTAACGCTGTTAAAGGAGTAGTTCACTTTTGAAAAAACTTTTGCTGATAATTTACTCACCCCCATGTCATCCAAGATGTCCATGTCTTTCTGTCTTCAGTCGAAGAGAAATTAAGGTTTTTGACGAAAACATTCCAGCATTTAATGGACTTCAATGGGAACCAAATGGTTCAAGGTCCAAAAGACGGTTTCAGTGCAAACTGTTCAAAGGGCTTCAAACGATTCCAGACGATGAATAAGGGTTTTTATCAAGCGAAACGATCACTCATTTAATAAATAAATAACAAAGTTTAAGTTTGATAAGCTCAAATGGTCGCCTTGTGATGCACGTTCGTGACTCTCCTGTTCGAACCCGTTCATCAAAATGAACGAATCTTTTTCCGAATCTCTCAGATTATTTGATACCACAATATTGTGAAACCACTTTAGTAAAGAACTAAAACAGGCCAAACCGGGTGTGTGATGCAGTGTGTGTACCGAAGCGCGTGGACTTGCGGCGGCGGCACCAGGCGATGTTGGCCCGGATGAAGAAGGCCCCCCACAGGCCCCCGAACACCCCCAGCAGGATGAAGGGGAACAGCTCGAACAGGTACCAGGGCGTGTGGTACTCCACGTAAAACAGCACCAGCCGGCTGTTCCCGAACGGGTTGATGGAGCGCAGCACGAACGCCGCCACCAGAGCAGCGAAGAACGAGCGCCACAGCGTCTTCAGCGGGAAGTAGTAACTGACCTGAGAGAGAGAGACACAGAGAGAGAGAAAGAGAGAGAGAGAGAGGATTAAGTTCACTTTTATTATTACAATCAATATACTATTACAAAAGATTTACATTTTGTTTATACAAAGTACATGTAAATTTTTTTTTTTCCCCATTCCTTCTTTTTTTTCCCTTTTTTTTTTTTTTTTTAAAACCTCAAGACCAATTCATTATCATACCATGTACATAATACTTCATTTATTCCCCATAATTCTATAAACTTTGGTAGAGATTCCACCAACTTGTAGTATGCATACTCCACCCTCAAACGGGAAGCTACCAAACCTAGAAACATCGACACAACGCTTATTGACCTTTGTCCCAACAGTCTGTTTTTTCTTGTCTTCCAAATGGCCAATTTTGCAGTGCCAGATAAAAAATTTACTAAAGCATATACATTTTTCTTCTTTACAGAGAGAGAGAGAGAGAGAGAGAGAGACAGACAGAGAGAGAGACAGAGAGAGAGAGACAGACAGAGAGAGAGAGAGAGAGAGAGAGAGAGAGAGAGAGAGAGAGAGAGAGAGAGAGAGTTACACATCAACTAGATAATCCTGGAATCAATCGGGGAAAATACAAAATGTTGTTTGTGTGTATAAAGACAGAATTGCGAGATATGTGTGTAATACACACACACACACACACACACACACACACACACAAGTCAACATTTGAAGTGTACCAAAACCTTTCATCAACGTTATACATGTATTTATTTATTTATGAAGCTATTTCATATATATATATATACATTGTTTGTGTTTGTGTGTGGGGGTGTGTGTATAGCTGTCACCAAAATTGTAAGAATATAGTGACATACAGTTTTGCTTATATCACTACTATACATGAATTAAAACTTAGTTTGGCCAATACTGATAGTGAATTATTTCTTTATTTGGGAAAAAAACCCCAAAACACTTTAATTCATAAAAGATGCATTAACTTGATCAGTAATGACATTTACGATATTACAAAATATTCCTATTTTATATAAACGCTGTTTTTTTTTTAATGAAAACACATCATGATTCTGTCCTCAACATTGAAAAATAATAATAAATGTTTCTTGAGCAGCAAACCATCATATTAGAGTGATTTCTGAAGGATCATGTGACACTGAAGACGAGCAATGATGCTGAAAACACAGCTTTGATCACAGGAATAAATTACATTTTAACGTATAATCACATAGAAAAGTTTTTTCTGTATTTTTGATCAAATAAATGCAGCCTTGGTGAGCAGAGGCATACTTAAAACTTTTGAACAAAATCTATCCTGCGTTTGACATCCCAACTCCACGGGAATAAACTGTGTCTTGTGTGATGTGAAGGAAGGGAGACTCACCTCCTCCAGACTGAACAACACTCCTCCGATCGGAGCGCCGAACGCCACCGACACACCAGCGGCCGAAGCTGCCGACAGCACCTGAACACACAGACAGACACGTCACCGTATCGGTTCAGTTTTAAAGATTACGATTCTGCTCGTCGGTTCCTAATTTCGATTCCGATAAGGTTAAAAAAAGTCAATCAAGTATCCGATTCCTCCCCAACCCTCATCACCGTCTACACATGTAGGTATTAATATCCAGATTTTGACCCTATCCGAATGAAGGCTGACCTCTCGTTTCTTGGCCTCGTTCTTGCTGTATTTGGGGAAGAGGTAGGAAAAGATGTTGCCACAGCAACAGGCCACGTGGACCAGCGGACCTTCCTTCCCGAGACTGAGGCCCGACGCCACGGCCAGAACCAGCGTGACCGTCTTTATCATCAGGGTCCACTTGCCCAGGTACCCTCGGATAATGAAGCCGCTCAGGATGGTTTTAATCTGACAGACGAGAGAGAAAGAGAGCGAGAGAGGATAATAAAACACAAGAAACACATTTTGAATGACCAAATAACATATTAAAAAACCTTCAAGTGCTGTGTGAAGGGGAGCAGTTTGAGCTATCAAATAATGAGTGCTGGGCAACAATTAATCGCATCCAAAATAAAAGTGTGTTTACATTATATATACACGTGTGTACTGGATAATTATTTAGTAATATAAACACACACATACATGCATGTATATATTTAAGAAAAATGTGTTTTTATATATATATATATATATATATATATACACAGTATATATATAATATAAATTTTGTATAAATGTATATACACAAATATATATACAAAGTGGATAATCTCCAGAGCACAAATATTTTTTACAATATGAAAATATGATATTTAAGAAAAATGTGTTTATATATATATATATATATATACTGTAAAAAAATATTGTTGGTTTAACTTAAAAAAGTAAGTAACATGGTTGCCTTAAAATTTTTAAGTTGATTGAACTGGAAAAAGTGAGTTAATACAAGGAAGTAGATTGATTTAATCATCAGAAACTCAAAATAATAAGTTATCTGAACTAAATAAATTATTATAAAGTTGATTTGACAAAAGAAAAAATGTTGTGATAACAAAACTTGAAAATATTTTTTTTACAGTGTATATATATATATATATAATATACATTTTTGTATAAATGTATATACACTATATTATATACATACAAATATTTCTTAAATATATACATGTATATATGTGTGTATATACTATATATACTAAATAATCATACTGATCCACCTCAAATGTTGTACTGTGTATATCTACATATACAATAAGCTATAAAATATATATAAAAACATATCAAATAAATTACAAACAAAGAAACTCACATAAAATCGTCGCTTCGATTTACATTTATTGAAGGTTACACACGCCTCCCTTCATGACCTTTGCTCTCTATTGATGAAAAGACTAAGTGCTGTTCTAAAACTTGTGTAACATTTTTGGTAACCATAGAAACAGTGACAAAATCAGAGCTAATACGGTTTGATTCTCAGTGGTCACCTGACCCGTTAAGAACATCTTAATCCGCAGCATTTCCCTGCTCCATATCACAAACACTCACACTGATGAGTTTGGTGGTGGCATAAAATTAAAAGAAAATCATGAATAAAGCATTGGTTTGCAAGCAGGTCTGTTATATATATATATATATGAAGAGTTCAGATGCAAAAGCCTCTAAGTGCAATTTGAAATTTTGTTCTAAAATGACCATTTTTATCAAGCTTATGTATTTAAGTTCAGTAATTTCACTTAAATGACAATTAATAGGTAATCTTCATTGTTATTCAAGTGAAATTACTGAACTTAAATATACAAGCTTGATAAAAATGATCATTCTAGAAGAAAATTTCAAATGGCATTTAGAGGCTTTTGCATCTGAACTCTTCATATATATATGTATATATAATATTCAGGATTTAATTAAGCTTTTTTCTTTATAATAATAACATAAAAATGCTAGGTTATCACTGACACGTCAATAATGGCCTACTAGAAAAACTGGTTACCCCATAAAAAAAATCATATTCTTCTTAGGATATCAGGTAAAACCTGTTTTAAGATAAGCGTCTATTGTCAATAAATGCTCTGCGGGATTACCTCAGGTATTCCAGACCCGCAGGCGTACGGCGCAAACACCTTCACCAGAGACACGGCCAGGAACGCAAAGGACAGCGCCCAAAACGTGAACATGAAGTAGTTCATGATGTAGGAGCCGGGACCCTAGATGACACACATAAGAGCCATCAATAAAGCCAAACGAACATCAACTGAATCGATCTGGTGTACACTCATTTTTTAAGGTTTGGGGTTGGTAGGATGATTTAATAGTCTCTTTTGCTCACCTAGGCTGCATTTATTTGATTAAAAATACAGTAAAAACTGAAATATTGTGAAATATTACTACCATTTAAAATAAATGTTTTCTATGTGAATGACTTGTAAACATGTAATTTATCCCTGTGATCAAAGCTGTATTTCCACCATTATTACTCCAGTCTTCAGTCACATGATCCTTCAGAAATCACTCTAATATGATGAGTTGATGCTCAAGAAACATTTATGAGTAACATTTTAAGTAAAAAAAAAAAATTATTATATATAAATATATATATTTTTATTTTTATTTTATTTTTTTAAAGGGCTGGGCAATGATTAATCGCATCCAAAATAACAGTTTTTGTTTACATAATATATGTGTGTGTGTACTGTGTAATGTGTATAATTATTTTGTAAATAAAAATTCACACACATGCATGTATATATTTAAGAAAAAAGGTGTTATTAATATATTAAATATTTATATTATAAATTATGTATACATATATATACAGTACATACATGCAAATATTTCTTAAATATATTGTGTATTGTGTATATTTTTATATACAAAAAATTACACACATATATTATGTAAACACAAACTTTTATTTTGGATACGTTTTTATTTTGGATACATTAAAAATGTCTTTACTGTCTTTACTTTGCTTTTCTCTTTTGTAATGTCTCTCAGCCATCTCTCTTTCTTCAAATCTCCCTCTCTATCTCTCTCTCTCAATCTCTTACTGAACCTTTAAATTAAAGTATGAATTTCTTAAAAAAAAAGGAAATCCTACTGACCCCAAACATTTGAGCGGTGGTCTACATAAAGTAGCACACTGACCTCGGCCTGACCCAGGATGAGTTCAGCCCATGTCTTCCACTGAGGACACTTGTCTCTCTCAGCAAACGTGGTCTCGTTGGAGCCCCAGCAACACTGCTCGTGGTTAAACCACATGGCACTGAGACACACGCCCTCCTTCAGATCGTTCAACCAGTCGGCCGCGATGTCGATCACCCCAGCTAACGCTCCTGAGGGGACAAGGATGAAGACGGGCATTAGTACACAAATCCTTCATGCACTAATGAAGCAGCGCGCACTATTGAAAAACTGATCCACGGTTACCGAGATCCCTGGGACCTTTGTGATATAGAGAGTTTTAGTCAGGGAAAACTGACAGGTAGGGATGCACCGATATGAAAATTTTGGCCGATACCGATAACCGATAATTCTTCATATTTGAAAGCCGATAACCGATATATCGGCCGATAAACTTAAATCCAAATTTTTATCTAATTTTGAGAGCCTGATTACAAAAACAAAGATCTCACAATTAAATCCACGTCCCAAGCGCACAATTATAATGATGTTCTCATTATAGTGTTGTATAGCCGATATGACAGTTGTCCCGAACCAGATTTACATTTTTTGAAGAGATTTCAATCATATTTCAAGAAATTCAAAAACATAAACAGTTCAACAAGCGTCTCAGCTGAAGGGAATAATACATTATTTAGCGGTTTTAATATATCGGCCACATTTTCTTACCAGGCCGATAACGATAACATCAAAAATGAACATATATCGGCCGATACCGATATGCTGGCCGATATATCGTGCATCCCTACTGACAGGCCATTTACACGACTAAAAATGTAAAACTTTTCATGCATTTTGGACGTTCGTTAACACGACAACGTCTTTATGACTCACTCATAAAGACTTCAATTGTTTCATTACTGAATGAATCAGCGTTTTTGAACAAATCTCTTGAATAAATGATTCAATGACTCACTCATAAAGACTTCAATTGTTTCATTACTGAATGAATCAGCGTTTTTGAACAAATCTCTTGAATAAATGATTCAATGACTCACTCATAAAGACTTCAATTGTTTCATTACTGAATGAATCAGCGTTTTTGAACAAATCTCTTGAATAAATGATTCAATGACTCACTCAGAAAGACTTCAATTGTTTCATTACTGAATGAATCAGCGTTTTTGAACAAATCTCTTGAATAAATGATTCAATGACTCACTCATAAAGACTTCAATTGTTTCATTACTGAATGAATCAGCGTTTTTGAACAAATCTCTTGAATAAATGATTCAATGACTCACTCAGAAAGACTTTAATTGTTTCATTACTGAATGAATCAGCGTTTTTGAACAAATCTCTTGAATAAATGATTCAATGACTCACTCAGAAAGACTTCAATTGTTTCATTACTGAATGAATCAGTGTTTTTGAACAAATCGCTTGAACTAATTATTCAAAGACTCACTCAAACGCTTCACTTTTTCCATAACTGTACAGACCAGCGTTTTTGAACAAAACTCTTGAATGAATAATTAAATGACAAAAACATTTTTAACAGTACCCTGTCGCCACCTATTGGTGTAACGAAGTAATGATACATTTGTCTTTATTTGAAGCGCCAAGTTACTTTCAAAAGAGGATTTGCATTATCGTAGACGTCAATGATTATATCCAAACAATAAACAATTCAAAAGTCCCATGTTTCCAAGATAGATGCGCAATTGCATTGGCAGGATTTGAGACAGATGATTCGACGAGTGAACCCTTACTATTTAGTGACTCGAAATCAAAATTTTTATTTAATTTTGTGAGCCTGATTACAAAAACAAAAGTCTCACAATTAAATCCATGTCCCAAGCGCACAATTATAATGATGTTCTCATTATAGTGTTGTATAGCCGATATGACAGTTGTCCCGAACCAGATTTACATTTTTTGAAGAGATTTCAATCATATTTCAAGAAATTCAAAAACATAAACAGTTCAACAAGCGTCTCAGCTGAAGGGAATAATACATTATTTAGCGGTTTTAATATATCGGCCTCATTTTCTTACCAGGCCGATAACGATAACATCAAAAATGAACATATATCGGCCGATACCGATATTCTGGCCGATATATCGTGCATCCCTACTGACAGGCCATTTACACGACTAAAAATGTACAACTTTTCATGCATTTTGGACGTTCGTTAACACGACAACGTCTTTATGACTCACTCATAAAGACTTCAATTGTTTCATTACTGAATGAATCAGCGTTTTTGAACAAATCGCTTGAACTAATTATTCAAAGACTCACTCAAACGCTTCACCTTTTCCATAACTGTACAGACCAGCGTTTTTGAACAAAACTCTTGAATGAATAATTAAATGACAAACATTTTTAACAGTATCCTGTCGCCACCTATTGGTGTAACGAAGTAATGATACATTTGTCTTTATTTGAAGCGCCAAGTTACTTTCAAAAGAGGATTTGCATTATCGTAGACGTCAATGATTATATCCAAACAATAAACAATTCAAAAGTCCCATGTTTCCAAGATAGATGCGCAATTGCATTGGCAGGATTTGAGACAGATGATTCGACGAGTGAACCCTTACTATTTAGTGACTCGAAATCAAAATTTTTAAATTAAATCAAAATTTGTATTTAATTTTGTGAGCCTGAATACAAAAACAAAAGTCTCACAATTAAGTCCATGTCCCAAGCGCACAATTTTAATGATGTTCTCATTATAGTGTTGTATAGCCGATATGACAGTTGTCCCGAACCAGATTTACATTTTTTGAAGAGATTTCAATCATATTTCAAGAAATTCAAAAACATACAGTTCAACAAGCGTCTCAGCTGAAGGGAATAATACATTATTTAGCGGTTTTAATATATCGGCCTCATTTTCTTACCAGGCCGATAACGATAACATTAAAAATGAACATATATCGGCCGATACCGATATGCTGGCTGATATATCGTGCATCACGACATTTACACGACTAAAAATTTCAACTTTTCATGCATTTTGGACGTTCGTTAACACGACAACGGGATATTTGGGGACCTAAAGTCTACACACTAGTAGTTTCTTTACAAAGTGACATCACCAAATAATGGCCTGGCATGATTAAGTGTTTTTTGTTGATTTCGTAGAACCGTGTGAAACCTCGAAAAACACAAAAGAAAAACTTTAATATATCGATTGGCTGTTTACCCGACACCGCTTTCAACTGAAAACCGAAAACTTGTGTGTCTTGGCCGTTCATTTACACAACAACAAAGTCGTAACGACAGAGCGCTTCTGGGTTATACGTCAGAATATAGGCTCACTATTGGCTGACGCTGGTCATGTGGGTGATGCTGGCCAATTGTGAGCCTACGTTTGATGTACAACCCAGAAGTGCTGCACTATTACACTACGTGAACTCACTCGGCCCACAGAGAAGAAGTCCTGTTTGAGGGTCAAAACTTGGTTTTAGGGATTATTATTAATTAATATTATTATTATTGTTCAGGGTAAGGCAGTTAGGGGTTATCTCTGACATTGCATAGTGTCAGTGAATGACCTCACAAAGATGGATTTTGTGCGTGTGTGTGTGGCGTTTACCTGATGCAAGTCCTGTTAGCGTGACCACCAGCCACCCTGACCAGGCGTCGTACAGGCTCTTGGTGAATTCCCATGCTGATTCCTTCTTTTTACTGTTTATCTACACGGATGAACAAAACATGCGTAAATACAGATGCAAAAAAAGCTGCCGACTCTGAAGTTTCAATATGACAGACTCTCAGTCGCTGGTCACTTTTAACACCACAGTATCACTTTCCGTTCCGCAGGAAGTTCATTTGCCTAAAAAAAAACCCTGATTCATTTATATGTTACTACGCTCGCACTGCACTGAGTCGCATTTGCCGTATGACTGATTTTAACTTAAATACTCCATAAATGTTCCTCCAAAAACATTAAAAAGTAATTAAACAAAAATGAAATGTAATGAAGCACTTTTATTTTATTAATTTGTTATGATTAATCATATCTTTTAGTTTGCATCAAGTTACAATAAATAAATAAATAAAACATGCAAATAATAAATCAATCATAAAACATAATATAGAGATGGAGTTTATTTCCAAAAATAAATTAATAAATAAATTAAGATGGTGTTAAATTTTCTGCTAAATAAATAAATAAATATGTAGAAAAATAAATACTAAATGATAAAAAGATAATAATAAATAAATACATATGAGAGTGTAATAAATAAATAACAATGAGTCAGTTCAGGTTTTCAAAAATAGTCAATATGTAGAGCTGCAGTTCCAAAAATATTCAAAAAAGTAAATAAATATGTACATAAATAAATAAAAAAATGTAAATACTAAAGCAATAAATAATAATAAATGCAAATGAGGAGTTAAAAAAATTAATTAAGATGGAGTTCAAGTTCCTTCCAAAACATTAATAGAACATTAAAGTTTCAAAAATAAATATATAATAAATAAATATAAGTAGAATAAGCTCCTTTCATGGGCGAAGTATTTAATTTTAATTGGATTTAAAAATAGCCACATCATGAAAAAAACAACTATACTGATATAAACATTAGTAAAAACGTAAAACTGCTCAAACCATGACCTGAAGGTTCACATCGTTCCCACGTTACCTTGCGGTGGCGCTCTCGGTCTTTGCACTTCTCCCGGACCCAGTCGATGGTGTGGAAGTCGTCGTAGGTCCCCACGCCGGGGATGGGCTCCTCCAGCAGGTCCAGCAGGTGTGTGGAGCTACTGGCCCCGCCTCCACCGCCCCCGTTAGACATGGCGTAGTTCGACCCTGCAAACACACACGAGGAGGGGCAGCGTGGTAAAAACACTGAACACCATCAAAATGCCATTCCGTTCAGCATTCATAGGAACGATTCAATATTTGCCGATTTAGAATTATTTGTTTTTATAAAGAGATTCAACGTGATTTTGATTAATGCATCGATTCTGTATTTTTAATGCATTCATAGGATTATTAAAGCGTACTCCACCGAGAAACTTTAAATACATGTACATATTGAAGAGCTGCACGATTCTGAATCACAATTTTTTTTTTTAAACAGAGATTGCGATTCTCCCACGATTATGAACAAACAAAATAAATTACTAGAGGTTCTGACAAAAAATGAATTGCTGCCACCTAATTAAAATGTTTAATTAATCTGAATTAATAATAATAAAAAAAAAGTTTGAATGATTGATTCAATGACTCACTCATAAAGACTTCAATTGCTTCATTGCTGAACGAATCAGCGTTTTTGAACGAATCTCTTGAATGAATGATTCAATGACTCTCATATAAAGACCTCACTTGTTTCATGACAGGACGAATCAGCATTTTTGAACGAATCTCTTGAATAATTGATTCAATGACTCACTCATAAAGACTTCATTTGTTTCGTAACTGGACGCATCAGCGTTTTTGAACAAATCTCTTGAATGAATGATTCAATGACTCACTCAAAGACTTCACATGTTTCGTAACTGGACAAATTAGCATTGTTGAACAAATATCTTGAATGAATGATTCAATGACTCACTCATAGAGACTTGTTTCATAACTGGACGAATCAGCGTTTTTGAACAAATCTCTTGAATGAATGATTCAATGACTCACTCATAAAGACTTCAATTGTTTCATTGCATCTCCTGAATGAATTATTCAATGACTCACTCATAAAGACTTCAATTGTTTCATTGCTGAAGGAATCAGCATTTTTTAACAAATCTCTTGAATAAATGATTCAATGACTCACTCAGAAAGACTTCAATTGTTTCGTTCCTGGACGAATCGGCATTTTTGAACAAATCTATTTGAATGACTGATTTAATGACTCACTCATAAAGACTTCAATTGTTTCATTGCTGAACGAATCACATCTCTTGAATGAATGATTCAATGACTCACTCATAGAGACTTGTTTCATAACTGGACGAATCAGCGTTTTTGAACAAATCTCTTGAATGAATGATTCAATGACTCACTCATAAAGACTTCAATTGTTTCATTGCATCTCCTGAATGAATTATTCAATGACTCACTCATAAAGACTTCAATTGTTTCATTGCTGAAGGAATCAGCATTTTTTAACAAATCTCTTGAATAAATGATTCAATGACTCACTCAGAAAGACTTCAATTGTTTCGTTCCTGGACGAATCGGCATTTTTGAACAAATCTATTTGAATGACTGATTTAATGACTCACTCATAAAGACTTCAATTGTTTCATTGCTGAACGAATAACATCTCTTGAATTAATGATTCAATGACTCACTCATAAAGACTTGTTTCATAACTGGACGAATCAGCGTCTTTGAATAAATCACTTGAATGAATGATTCAATGACTCACTCATAAAGACTTCAATTGTTTCGTTCCTGGACGAATCGGCGTTTTTGAACAAATCTATTTGAATGACTGATTTAATGACTCACTCATAAGGACTTCAATTGTTTCATTGCTGAATGAATCACATCTCTTGAATGAATGATTCAATGACTCACTCATAAAGACTTCAATTGTTTCATTGCTGAATGAATCAGCATTTTTGAACAAATCGATTGAACGAATTATTCAAAGACTCACTCAAACGCTTCACCTTTTCCATAACTGTACAGACCAGCGTTTTTGAACAAATCTCTTGAATGAATAATTAAATGACAAAAACATTTTTAACAGTACCCTGTCGCCACCTATTGGTGTAACGAAGTAATGATACATTTGTCTTTACTTGAAGCGCCAAGTTACTTTCAAAAGAGGATTTGCATTATCGTAGACGTCAATGATTATATCCAAACAATAAACAATTGAAAAGTCCCATGTTTCCAAGATAGATGCGCAATTGCATGGCCAGGATTTGAGACAGATGATTCGACGAGTGAACCCTTACTATTTAGTGACTCTTACTTGAGGGTTAGTGAACTGAACAAATAGACCCCTTCACCTTCGTTCACCACTCATTACATCATCTTTTCTGATGCCCATAGTGGCCGACTCGATGAAGGCCGAGATCTGGGTCACCTGGACGTGTGTGTGTGTGTGTGTGTGTGGTGTCCCGAGACCGTTCAGGCCGTAACCGCAGCACAACAGCTGATAATCAGCTAATCAGCTTTACCACACAGATCCGACACACACCGTCACGCGCTTGACTAGAGAAACACTCGCTTGTACACACACTTCCCTTTTCTAGAATCAGATCTACCCGGTGACTCAGCTCAACGCTAACAAGGTTACACTGATAAAAAAGTAAAAAGTTACTGTAAACCCAGAAATAGCACATGAAATGTCATTCTTACAAATATAAATACATGCATCATGTGATGAGGACAAACACAGGCCAAGAGCAACATAAGTGAGAGCAACATCTAGACTTGCACGGCATGGAAAATGTGTGTGTGGCTGCAGGTGTTATTAATAACGGCACAAAACCGCAAGTAAAGCATGACTCATTTGCAAGTATCAAATCATATTGAAAGAATTATAAAAAATATTTATTTTTTAATAATCAAGGTGACTTGATTCATTGGTGCGTTAATATTAATATTTTTTTAAATTTTGAATTTTGTTTATTATTTAACTATTATTAATATTGTTAATAATAAACAGCTGATAGTTGGGTTGAATAATTTGTAAATATGAATAATTGGATCAATTTATTTATTATTTAGCAATAAGCAATTTTATTATTTAATGTGTATTTTCTAAACAGCTATTATTATTTTAATACCAAGTAAATATGAATAAAATTATTGTTTTGTGTTAAAGATTTGCTCATTTTATTATTATTATTATTATTCTTTATTAATACAAATATTTTTATTATTAATTGCATTTTCTTTTTTTAAACATATAGATAATGGCTATCAATTCATTTTAATACCTTTGAATATCAAATTTTAAATTTTGTATTGTTTTGAGTTCAAATTAATAGCTTATTGTATTGTTATTTAATTACTATTATTTATGAATTATTATACTTTGTGAAATAAATCAATTTATCATCAATTAGAATTCATATTTTTAATAATAGCAGACAGCAATAATTTCACTTAATGCTTTTAAATATTAATATAATTAATCAATATTCATGTTGTGTTAATATTGATAGCTTGTTTTATTATTATTAATTTTTTAAGGAAATCTGTTTTCTATTAGTAGAGTATGACACTGAAGATCATTAGCAGTTAAAAATATACAAGGCCTTCGAGAATTTAGAAAAAAAACTATATATAAAGCATTTATTTGTTCATGGCGCAAACATTTTAAAAACTATGACATAACCGTCAGGAAGTGGAAGAACACACTCAGACTCCTGTTATACTAGTCATGTGACAGTCACCTGATTAGGGTTTAAGATTTCACAAGATGAAATTGAAATCTTTGACAATATCGAGAGAATCTCAAAATATATTTAGTCTCCCAGTGTTTAAAATCAAGCTTTTTAATGTTATTTATTTGTGTTGTTTTAATATGCTTTAAGACAAACTGTGAAAGTTCATAAGTCGACAGCATTGCTGAGTATTTCCTCTTTAAAACTGCAGTGAACCAAACACAGTCTCAAAAACACAGTTTGAAATCGCTGGTGTTGATTCTGACGTCACACACGACCTTGTAACCAATCAGATCAATGTGTGATCGCCAACCAGTGGATCTGTGAGCTGAGAGAGTGAGTGGAGGCGGGGCTCATTTGCATATTTATAGAATCGCGTATACTAATGAGGCAAGGGTGTCAAGTTACATTCAAGCTACTTTAAGGCATGAAGAATTTTTTTTTTGAGTTTTGAGAACATTTACAAAATTATTGACTACCAGAAATCCCCTCAACGTTCTTCACAGGAGCGAGATTAATGCGTAACAAACCGCAGAGATTAAACCAGACGCACACCGACACGAGTACAGCGAACCAAAGCGTCCCGCTGACTCACAGAGAGCAGAGAGACCCTCGGGCGACTCAAGGCCACAACAGCACATGTGTGTGTCACTGAAGAGTGTGTGCTCGTGTCAGAGGAAGAGGCCAGATCTGCGATTCAAGCTCTCACTAAACTGCATGTTAAAGTCCATTTGATTCCTGTGCATTTCATCTTTGTGTCCCTGATTCCTCCTACAACAGTGTAAACACACACACAGACACACACACAAACAAGACGAGCTGAGCCCTCTACCAAAATTAGAGCCCGACCGATAAAGGATTTTGAAAGCCGATACCGATACAAATATTTGTTGGTTTTAAAATCCGATATTCCGATATATCGGCCGATATTTTTTTATTTTATTTTTTATTTCAGAAATGCACAACAAAACATGAACAGATTTCCCTAACACATTATTTGTAGTTATTTATGAGTTTTAACTAAAATAATATGATAATGCATTTTAAAATGAAACTTGTTTAATTTATTGTCACAACAGAACAGACTGGTGATAGTGGCATTAGCTAGCTTTATGGTTAGCTAGTCTATGATTAGCAATGGATAACGTCATACTGCAAATTGTAAAACATACATTTTCAATATAACAGGCCAAGCAGAGATGATGCGTCTCATTGCTATAACTGTCACGCGCTATTAAAGAAATACTTCAGTCACATTGTCAAAAATTAAAAGAACAGTCAGTCGACTACTACACTGTAACAACGTAACGTAAATATTAACGTAGCTATAACGTAGCTTCACTCTCGGCTAGTTTAACAGCAGAAAAACTGGACATGATAGTCACAAATTTTGTCATGTTTATTTGAGTTCAGAGAACTGATGTGGATGGTCTTTTAATTGTTATTCAAGCAATGTAT